ATTAAGAAACATGGATAAACATTCCCGAGGCTCAGAATTACACATTCATACCATCATTATGGTCACCAGGAGAGTGAAACTTGAAAATTCTCTATTCTTCCTGAAGAAATGTTCAAAATTTGAGAGTTTGAGCAATAAAAAACCAGCAATCAATCAAGCTACCACAACAAAGAAACTGGTATACTCCAAATGACTGAGAAAAACATACGCTTCTTTAAACATCCGTGAGAAATGTGCTATGTTGATGATGACAGAATGTGTGATTTTAAATGTAAGTGACCAACAAAGCTTGATTTGGTTTCAGGCATTTTCCTCTTGCTGTTGTTAAGTGCTGTCAAGTCGATTCCAACCCATAGCACCGAGTATAGGGTTTCCAAGGATCAGCTGGTGAGCTTGAACCACTGACCTTGCAGTTCACACAAATTTACAGTCTGATACATTAGGCCACAGCACCACACCAGGACTCCATTTTTCCTAGTTGGGGGTAAAAATCCTTGGAAGAGAACTAATAAGGAAAGTCAGAAACAAAACCAAGGTGATCATTTCAGTAAATATTTTGGAAAACTTGTCAACTGATGAACAATGTAATGAAGAAGAATTATGATTCTGCTAACTACAGAGTCATTTTCCAATTAGTTTACACGTGTACACGTCCAGGCCAGATAATGACCCAATAATGACACCAGGATGAAATTAACTTGTTATTGATACTCTAGATAACTGGTTTTGAAAGTGTATTAAGCTGGTTCTCCTGTATCCATCAGAAGCTAAGTCACATCCAAGATGGCAGAGAGATGGAAATGGACCCCAAACAGATGTGATGCTAACAAGAAGAGATTAAAGATGCCATCAGTACATTCAGAAGAATATAAACTTACATGATGAAGCCTCATAAAGGCAAATATAGGGCTTTCTTGATAAGATGGCAACATAAAACTGAATTACAGAAGTGTTCCCTTCCCCAAAATGAGCCCAAGAAATAAGTGAAAGTGAAAATTTAGTGGTAGTAACCAAACCAAATACCCATCACCTAAAACAGTATGTTTCATTAACTGATGGTTGGGCCATTTGTAAGAAGCCCTGGTGTGCAGTGGGTTAATTATGAGGCTGCTAACCACAAGATTAGTGATTCAAACCTACAAGCTACTCCATTGGAGAAAATATACCATTTCAGAAACCCTCGAGTTACTGTGAGTCAGAATTGATTCGTGGCAGTGGGTACGTAGGTAGTGGGGCAGTTTTTGGTTCCAAACTCTGTCCCTATTCACCAACTCCTTGAAGACATAACTTTTCCACTCTCTTCCATTCCCATCCAGTCTATTTGGATTCAAAGTGACCCTATAGGATCTAAGTGCTCCTTAGAGTTTCTGAGACTGGACGTTATTATAGGCGCGGACAGCCTACTCTTAAGACATACTTTATTGTTGTTAAGTACTGTCAAGTTGGTTTCAACTCATAGCAACCCTGTACAGAGTTTCCAAGGAGCAGCTAGTAGGTTTGAGCTGCCAGTCTTGTGGTTCACAGTCCAGTGCTGGTCCTACAGGGCCACACTAAGAGAACTAAAATCAAGAAAGGAAAACACAAGAGACCTTCAAAAAGTTTGTGGGAAAATTCCATTATATTTCTTTCCATTTTTCCATGAATTTTTGAAATCCCCCTTGCATAAAACAGGAAAAAAACAAACAAACATGGGACTACCTCCCTCTGTAGATGAGTAGGCTTCAGGACTCGGTTCTAAAACTGGGGGATGGTCTAAAGTCTGTGGATTGCACCCCATCAGAATGGAGGGTGTCAGAAGTAGGTTGAGTGAATCCTGGGATAGGCTATGTAACAATTTCCCAGAATTTGTACCTGAATGGTACCCAGGATAAAGACTGGGTATTACCTCAGCTGAGCTTTACCTTTCCCTGTCCCCTGTTCTTTTAGGACTCAGAAAAGTAGTCTGAACTCAAAGCATTTAGCCCTCAAACTGCTTCTTCAAAGGGAAAATTAACTGGTCTCCCATATGGTGCTAAAAAACTCACCCACACTTTATCAGAACAATTAGAATATCTGCCCAGAGCTGCTCTGTTGGGAACAGATAAAAAGAATTGGCATGGCAGATATAAATGATCTGTCCAAACAGAACCAGCATGCAAAGGACAGGCATGGGTTTACCCTTGAAGACAATGAAACTTAAAGGACAGAAACAGATTCTTCACAATACAACTTATATAAGTTCTTACAAATACAACTTAGTAAAGAATAGAGTATTTTTTCAGATAACCTAGAGACAAGGTAATAAAACAATAAGAATGAGATGAAAAGGGAAATTGCAAATCTAACAAAAAACATCAAGAAATAAAGCAACACTATTGTAGAAATGATGCATAAATTAAAATGCTAAAATACAGAAGAGACACTATTGAAAATAGATTTACTATCAATAGACAAGTATTCATATAATCACAGTGAATATAGATGGCAGATAAGGAGATTAAAGACGGAGAGACTCTCAAAGATATGAAGACATGCAAATGTTGCAGTATGAGAATAATAATTGGAGTCTCAGTAGAAAATCTAAAAAACGGAACAGAAGATATGTTTAAAAATATAAGAAAATTTCCCAGAAATGAAAAAAGGACCAAATCTGTTCTAGGAAATATAATAAAGAATTTTCAAATCCAGACATATTTTATCCTATCACATCTCAAGGATAAAGACATCATTCTTCAGAAGTCACACCAGGAAAAGTCTGTCTCCTATGAAAGAAAGGGGGAAAAAAAAGCTGGCTTCAGACTTCAGATCTCCTCACTGAAGTATTTAGTGCTATGCTGTCTGAATAAGGAGAAAGAAAGTGGCCCAAGGATATTATATTTTATCAAGATATCATTAAAGATAGCAGGGAAATATGCATAGCCTAAGGAACTCCTGGTGTGGCGCTGTGGGCTAATGCATCAGACTGCAAGGCTGTTTGAACTGCAAGGTCAGTAGTTCAAGCTCACCACCTGCTCCTTGGAAACCCTATACAGGGTCGCTATGAGTCGGAATACACTAGATAGCATTTAACAATAACAAGAAGCTCTGGAAGAAGCTCTGGTAGCGTAGTGGTTACAAATCGGGCTGCGAACCTTAAGGTCAGCAGTTCGAAACTACCAGCTGTTTCGTGGGAGAAAGGTGAGGCTTTCCGCTCCCATAAAGATTTACAGGCTTGGAAACCCTGTACAGGGTTGCTATGAGTCGGAACCAACTCCACGGCACATCACCACCACCACCTGGAAATGTAGTGGTTATGAATCAGGCTATTAACATCAAGGTGAGCAGTTCGAAACTACCTGCTGTTCTGCAGGAGAAAGATGAGGCATTCTTCTCCGGTAAAGATTTACAGCTTTGGAAACCCTGTACAGGGTCACTATGAGTCGGAACCAACTCCATGGCATATCACTACCACCACCAATAGAACAAAAGAATCTGTGTGATCCTTCCAAAGGAAATATTTTATATTAAAGGTCCAGTTCATTTAAAAAAAAAAACACTATATATATCAAAATACCTTATGAATAACTCAGCCATGGTAAAATGAGGCATGAAAGGGTTTGCAAGGCCATAAAGCTTTGTGGGAACAGAAAGCCTCATCTTTCTCCCGCGGAACTGCTGGTGTGCCTGAACCACCAACCTTGTGATTCAGTCAGGTGCTTTTGGTGTGGAACCACTGTGTTCCCGTAGGAACCACTATGCTTGTTTAAATGTAACAACTATAAAAATTAGTATTACAGAATGATATCCATTGGGCATAATAAAAAATAATTATATTACGGAGGAGTCTTGGTGTGGCACTGTAGGATAAACATTGGACTGGTAGCCACAAGATCGAGGGTCCAGCTGCTCCTTGGATATGCTGCTCAGACTATGGAAGATAGACGAAGGATAGAAGGAAGTAGGAGAGTATATATGTCTTCATCTTTGAAGTGAATCAGTATCACCTAAAATTATGACATGAAATCTAAAATGCAAACACATTTCTATTCCACTCTCTCAATATTTCATAATTTTTTTAAACCTTAAGATAATCAATTATGACATAATAGTTATTTTGCTTTAGAACTGATCATTTTAAGGTTAAAAAAAAGTTTTGTCTGAACATGAACAGTTTGTTTTCTTTCGATCTGTACTGTTTAATCATAATTAAAATCTATACTTTTAGAATTATTCTTATTATTTGGAGTCCTGGTGTGGCACCTGAGTAGGACCTCAAGGTCGGTTTGAACTGCAAGGTCGGTGGTTCAAACTTGGAAACCCTATATAGGGTCGCTATGAACTGAATCCTTTTTCCACTCAAAAGGAGGAGAGCAAATTTAAGCACAAGATGAAAGAGAGTAAGAGAGACATCCTCTGAAAACAATTGCATTTTTATACTCTGTTTTAACAGCTTCTGAATTCATAAATCATAACATCTAGTCTTTTAAATTGTACAAGTCAATGTTTTTTATTACATTCACAAAGTTGCACAACCATACCCACTTCCTAGTTCCAGAATATTTTCATCATTCCAAAAATAAATTTTGTATCTATTAGCAATCACTCCTCACTCTATTCTCCCCCAGCCCCACAATCCCTGGTAACCACTAATCAACTTTCTGTCTTTATACCTTTGCCTGTTTTGGACATTTTGTGTCAGTGGAATCACGTAATATGTGTTTATTTTGTGAACCGGTTTCTTTCATTTAGTATAATCATTTAGCATCGTTTACAAGGTTTATCCATGTCACAGTGTAGATCAGAATTTCATTCTGAATGAATAATATTTCATTGCACAGATAGAGACTAGATTTTGTTTATCCATTCATCCTCCGTTTGGCTATTGTGCATAAAGCTGGAATAAATATTTGTGTATAAGTTTCTGTGTGAACATGTTTTTGTTTCTATTAGATATATGCTTAGAAGTGGAATTTCTGGATCACATGGTAGCCTTTTGTTTAGGAGCGCAAACATTTAAACAGCTGTCTTCTTCGTTATTCCAGGCAGAAATGGTACACAGCGCCTTCCAGGCACAGCGGGCTTTCCTCCTGATGGCCTCTCAGTACCAACAACCCCAAGAGGTAAGAGACGCAGTGATCTAGGGGATGAGCAGTATGAACTAGAAAGAAGGAAACAGCAGAAGTGTGTCGTGTGAGAGGCATCCCCAAATTGGAGACTCTAAGCACACATAGGTCCCTTTTCCAATTCTGACCATGACATACAACACTTCTTCCGTCTTTATAATCTTAATAGATACGTGTTTTAAAAATGCATACCCATTGCTGAGGGATGGGGAGACAGTAATGTTCTCTGGCCACTAATAAATAACTGGACCGATCAATAACATCATGCTAAATTTAGGAAAGATTGAAGTTGTCAAAGACTTCCTTTTGCTTGGATCCACGATTAACACTCATGGAGGCAGCAGTTAAGAAATCAAAGACACATGGGGTAAAGGGGATGGATGTCACTAGTGATGTATACACAACCCTGGAACAACTGTGTTCTGGCCATAGATATATGGATGGAATGGGTAAAGGAGGAATATATAATTTTACATCCCACAAATATCTAAGAGTTTAAAAGACAAAAATGAAACATTCTTTGATGGTTGCCATGGGTGGGAGGGGAGGGAGACTAATTCACTGGCTATAGGGTTGCTACTGTTGTTGTTAAATGCTATCAAATTGGGTCCGACCCATAGCAACCCTGTGCAGGGTTTCCAAGGAGTGGCTGGTGAGCTTGAACCACTGACCTTGCGGTTCAAACCAACTTTGCAGTCCAGCACATTAACCCACAGCACCACACCAGTTTATAGGGTTAAATAGGGAGGGCAATATACAAGATGAGAGAGGTTGGCAGGTGTGATAAAGACAGATGAAGACATGGCAGAGGAGTACACAGGGCTAAAGGGGATAGAAGTAAACAATGACATAAGTATACAACCTTGGAACAACAACACTCTGTGGATTGAAAAAAAAGAGAGAGAAATTAAAAGACATATTGTATTAAGCAAATCTGCTCCAACAGACCTCTTTAAAGTGTTAAAAAGCAAAGATGTCATATAATCACGAGGTATGCCTGATCCAAGCTATGATATTTTCAGTCTCCTTGTATGCATGTAAAAGTTAGTAAATAAGGAAGACCATAGAAGAATCAATGTATTTGAATTACGATATTGAAGAAGAATTTTGAAAGTACCATGGACTTTCAGAAGAACAAGCAAATCTGTCTTGAAAGAAATACAGCCAGAATGCTTCTCCCATGCGAGGATGGCGAGCCTTCATCTCTCATACTTTGGGCATGTTGTCATGAGAGACCAGTCCCTGGAAAAAGACATCATGCTTAGTAAAGTGGAGGGACAGTGAAAACGAGGACGAGCCCCAATGAGATAGATTGGCACAGTGGCAACAACACTGGACTCAGACATAATAAAAATTGTGAGGATGGTACAGAAAAACTGGGCAGTGTTTCCATCTGTGGTGCAGAGGAGCTCTGTGATTTGGAACTGCCTGGACAGCACCTAACAACCACAACCATTAATACATCATTGTGGCTTCCATGTATTCCAGGGGCTTCCGACTCTCATTTCTAGCTTCCTCTAGACCACTGATTCTCAACTTTAACCTACATTTGAATCCCCTGGGAATCTTCTTAAAATGCAGGGTCTGGGGTGGGGCCTGAGATTCTCAAGGAGCTCTGGTAGTGTAGAGTCAGGCTGCTAACCTCAGGGTCAGCAATTCTAAGCTACCATCCTTTCCACAGGAGAAAGATGAGGCTTTCTGCTCCTGTAAAGATTTATAGCCTCAGAAACCCTGTGCAGGGTCGCTATGAGTCAGAACCGACGCCACAGCACATAACTACCACCATCATAGACTCATATATGGAGACCTGATATGGCGCTATAGGATAAAGCACTGGACCGCGAGGTCGGTTTGAACTGCAAGGTCAGTGGTTCAGACTCACCAGCCACACATTGAAAACCCTGTACAGAGTCACTATGAGTCGGAACCGACTCCACAGCACACCACCACCATGAGGCTTTCAGGTGGTGCTGAAGTTGCTGGTCTGTGTCACCATAGTTTAACCAGCAAACCTGAAATCCCTACAAAGACAACAGACTTAATAGTTAATTATCAGATTCATCATCTTTTCCCTAACATTTCTGTATCAGTCAGTGTAGGCTGTGGTATGCTGCAATGACAAACATCTCCAATACCTCAGTGGCTTGTAACAAGGACAATAACAAAAGCCCTTTTGCTGTTGAGCCAATTCTGACTCCTAGTGACTCTATAGAACAGACTAGAACTACAGCTTCGCCTTTGTGAGACTGTAAACCTTTATTGGAGCAGACAACCTCATCCTTCTCCCACAGAGCAGCTGATGGGTTTGAACTGTAGACCTTGTGGTTAGCAGTTTAATGCTTCACTAGCGGTAAGGATTTGTAACACATAAGATAATTTTATCAGGCCACAAAGTTGGGATAACTGCATAATACCCAGAAGCATGGTCCAACCTCGTTGACACATATTTTGAGAGGAAATGATTTAAAGCATAAGAGACCTAAGAAATGATCTCTAATTATCTCAACTTGGGGTGACCACAAAACTCAGGTCTGAGCTGAAAATATGGCCTCAAACAGGCCAGTGCCTCTGAGGCCACATATTGGCCTCAAACCCAAGGGAGACTATCACCAGGGGAGTTCCCAGGTCCCCCACCTAACCCGTCTCATCTGGTAGTGGCTAATTTGCATTAGCAGATGGGCAGCACCATGGGATTGGAGAACCACAGCTGCTGTGCCCTAAGAACAGCAGGCTTCCTTCTACCTTCCCACGTACACTTTCCATATTTTCTCCAGCATTTCTTGTGCTGCAAAGAACTGACAATGAAACGGGGGAGAGGGGGATGTTGTATGTGTGTAGATTTGCATAGGATCAGTGTGCACTCCCCAGTACATAGAGAAAAATTTTAACTCTAACTTTCCCAACTCCAGGGGAAATGATTTGTGGTCACTGACTGTTCTATGGATTTGAGTCTATCAAAAAGATTAGTAAATCTATGCTGTCTGTTCTGCCAGAAATGAGAGAGAGAGAGTTCAGACCTCCCTCTCCTTTTCTGTTTTTATGTGGGGTTGCACTAGAAAAGGTAATACTGCCTTCCTGTGCACAGAGCAAGAATCGGAGACGGTTTCTCTTTCATTTCATTGTTTATACAGTCTGAATACTTGGAGGCCAGTGGAGAGTTAGAGACTCCTTCTGGATAATCTTCTATATCTAAGTGCATGTGCGTCCCCAGCACAGTGCTGTCAAAGGCATGGAACCAGTAATGAAATGTGGCAAGAGCGTATCTCTTAAACTAAGCAAGGAAGCTAGGGGCAGTAACTTTCACATATCTGCTATTTATTTAGGAGCCCTGATAGATCTAGATTATCAGAGGGCATAAATAGGTTTGGGATTTTTCTGAACCACACCTATATAAATTTATGCAAGTAGTTAAGAGAAGAAAGCTTGGATTGAGCAGACGTGGATTTGTATCCCAGACATTCTAGTTATTAACTACTAATCCAAATGGAAAAAAATAAATTCATCTATGTCTCCTCAATTTTGAAACCATCAGTCTTTTGCTGGGTGACTTTTGGAAAATTGTAGGGTCCCTGGTGGCACAGAGAGTTAAGAGCTGGGCTGCTAACTGAAAGGTTTGAACCTTTGGAAAGCCTGGCAGTTCCTCTGAAAGCTCACAACCTGTGGAATACAGTTCTACTATACAACTCCTGGTAAGATAGAGGGTCAGAGAAAAGGAGGAAGACCCCCAATAAGATGGATTGGCCAGGTGGCAGCATCCATGGACTCAAGTGTGGCAACGGTAGTGAGGTTGGCCCAGGATCAGATGGTATTTCGTTCTGCTGTGCATAAGGTCGCAATGAGTTGGTGCCAACCGGATGGCACCTAACAACAACATGCAACACCCGGAGTCATCATGAGTTAGAATTGACTCAATGGTAACTGATTGAGTTCACTGATAAATTAAACTGGTAAAGCCCACAACACATTTCCACGGAGACATACTAACCAAACTAACTTGTCAAGTTACCCACTTGGGGAAAGACAATTGTCTTACAATAGGCATAATCATAATTCCTACCCCATGAAATTATTGTGAGGATCAAATGAGAAAAGTGTGTGTTTTAGAGTAGTTCACCAGCTTTTGTAAGCAGTCTCCAGATCTCAAAGCCTTTCTACTCTGGTTAACATCCTTCTTGGTTAACATCCTTCTACATGGTCATTTAGGGACCCAGGCTTTTTCTGTCTTGTGTCCCTCATTTCCTTCAGGTCTTTAGCCACTGAATTGGGAAAGACAATGAAAGATTATTCCTGGGAAGACTTTATGGGCTAGGGCTGGATGTTCTAACTGCAAAAGCAGCTGGAAAATTGAGACAACCTGTATGATCCACGTTCAACCATTTTAGGAGGTAGCATATGGTCACGAAGAAATGGTTATTGAAGGAAGAAGTCCAAGCTGCACTGAAGGTACGGGCGAAAAGCAAGGCTCCAGGAATTGACAGAATGCCAATTAGTTGAGATAATCCAACAAACAGATGCAATTCTGAAAGCACTCACTCATCTATGTCAAGAAATTTGAAAGGCAGCTACCTGGCTAACCAACTGAAAGAGAGCTATATTTGTGCCCATTCCAAAGAAACGTGATCCAACAAAATGCAGAAATTATTGAAAAATATCTATATCACACCTAAATAAAATTTTGCTAAAGATGATACAAAAATGGTAGCAACAGTAAAGTACATCAGCAGTGAAATGACAGAAATTCAAACTGTATTCAAAAAAAGGATATGACACAAGGGATATTACAGTTAAAATTAGAGGGACCTTGGCTAAAAGTAAAGAACACTGGAAAGTTGTTTACCTTGTATCTTATTGACTCTGCAAAGGAGCATAAAAACTCATGGATGGCATTTCAAAGAATGTGAATTCCAGAACACTTAATTATGCTCATGTGGAACCAATGCATAGACCAAGAGACAGTTGTTCAAACAGAACAAGGGAATACTGAGCGGTATAAAATC